ACGACTGATCACCTTGACTGCATGGACCACATATTTTACATTTAACGGCAGTATCTATGAGCAAATATTTGGACTACCCATGGAATCTCCACTCTCACCTCTTTTAGCAAATGTCTACATGGACAAGTTGTGCAAGTTCAACTTTGAACCAAATCAAAGCAAGCAGTACCACAACATTTGTGGGTTGGCACACTAAAGACTAGGGCATGGCGAGTCATAGACTTGGTATTAGAGATAGAAACAGGATAGACGCGGCGGAGACTGGAGCTAGTTGGCTGACAGTTTTACCCGAGACGTGGTCCATGTAGCAAAGGCGTGACCATGAGACTTACTCAGAGGCTTTAGCCTTGTATTAATCACCCAGATGCAAGGGATGGGCGAATTACTCCTCGAATAGCATAGATGAGGGGACAGGCGTCGAGTGTAATAATACGTGTACCAGGCAGATACCAGACGGATTCTACGGGGCAAGAGGGAGACTCTGATAGGACCCAGGGAAGGAGGACTACGTAGCAATATGGCAGACTCTGGTCAACATTCCCAACACAAGGGTGAAGGGTGTGATTCTGACAGTGTGGAGTGTGAAGGGTTTTCATGATACCGCCCAAAGGAGCGCACCTCACTACATCTAAATAGGCATGGCAAAAAATTGTGACAATGAAGGTGTAATAGGAGGATATAGGAAATGTGAATAGCCCAGGGCAGAAGGGGAGATACCACAACTGTTTAGCACACATTATGTCAAATGATAGGCTTATTTGTCTCTTTGACGAGTTGTTGTATGGTGTTAAGAATGGCGATACTCACTCATGATGCCGACCATGATGCTGGCGAAATGTTTGGGAATGTACCACGTCCACAGTCCGACTTTGGAAAGTATTATGCATTCAATGGATTCTGGACTAGGTGCGTTCCTCTAAGTCTTCCTACATATATGACTAAGTTGCGAAAATAAGGTCAAACAACTTATATATTTATTATTTGAAAAGAAATTTGTAAATGAACTTGCATTTCTAGATTTCCTATCGGCATCTCCATCAAATACTACAACCAACTTGACAAAATATAATCCTTATGGAGTTTATTAACATAAACAAAATAAGTATCATTATAGATAAAAAGGATGAATATATAAAATTTTTTGTAAACTGCTTCCCAAAACTTGCTATCATGCCCTTACTATATCTGTCGCATGAAAGACGAACTCTCAGAGTGGATTTGTCGGAGTCATATTTCAATGAGCTTAGGACTTCGTTGCACAACAATTCTCACACTATCAGGATACTTTATTTTAAGCTTCAAATTGGGCCAATTTACGAATCTCCTCCACTCACTTTTTAAACAAATATGAACTATTAAAGGATTCTTCGAGACCATAATTATTTTCATAACATTATGATATGCCTTTTTCGCCTCTTTACACTCTATTCTCCTTTTTCTAGATCGCAATGCTCTGTCCACTTCCACTTCTAGATCTAATTCCTCGTTGTTGGTCAACCAACCCGGTAGACCGGCCTAACGCCAGTCAAATCGTACTTCTTACTGCGCCGAAGGTCGAAAGTTTTCCGATGTGTGTGCCACCTCTATCAAGCTCTAAGAAATTAGAGAACCCACCTTCTAGTGTTACCGCCAGGCAAGCCGATAACAAGTTCCAACTTCCATACCCACTTAACTACGACCAGACCCAGTGCCTGGAAAAGACTGTCCATTTGGGATCAGGAGCCTGTATCTTGCCAGCTGCAGGAGACCCGATGCCTTCGGCGACGGCTAAGCAGCCCAAAAATTCTGCTAATGACCCAACTCGAATGGGAATCCGAGTGAAGGTCAAGCAGGCGGATAAATTTACCCGATTGCGCAGTGCTCGATGTCTCGACTTTCTGGAAACTGTCACCTGCGCGATGATAGGTAAAGCTTATGGGATTACTTTACTACTTAGTAACTCTCACTTTTGTTCCATGACGCCATAGAAATAAGGTTCAAGAAACTAAGATTGAGCTTGTATACAAGGTATTGAAATTTATATAAACGTAAATGTGATACTACTTCAATCATTTCTAGAGTAAATATGAGGAAGAAGGGATTTAGCTGGTCATTGGCTGTTTTACACTATTAGGGGGACCTTCATTTCGAATGAAAGTACATGAAGAAGAGATTCGTTTTTCGATCTCACCAGATAAGGACGGATGCAAATCT